CTGGATTCATGAATATTAATCAGGTTGTGTGTGTTCGCTCGAACTGATTTGCTGAAATCAAAACAGGGACGATAATAGGTGAGCGCCAGCCAATGAGATTGTCGTTTGCGCATTAGTTCCGCCCACTAGCGGAAAACCCGGCATTTCTTAAAAGCTGAAGAATTCCAAAGGGACTCTGTTATTTTTACAGGAAAATACAACAAAGTATATCGTTTACATGTAGCGCATCAATTCTGCATGTTATGTAAGACTCTCGCTCGCTCTCGCTCTTTGCGCGTGTGAGAGAAAGCGTCAGCGAGTCGTGCGCCTTCACACTAGAGTTTACGTTACGCCAAATACACAAACACAGGTGCGCTGCGCATCCATTGAGATGAAATGATAAAAAGCAGAGATCGCTTGACGGAGAGTGAAACTCTGAAGCGCTCAGTCAGAGTGTTTGGCGAGTGAAAATATATCTGTGCTAAACTTATATTCAGCCTCCAACTCACACACTAGCGAGTAAAATCTGAGAATTTATTAGCCATTGGCTAATATTAGACATCATTTAGTCGCCCAGAGTGAAGATTTAGTCGCATATGCGAGTGATTTACTCGCAATGTAGAGGGTTGTGTAATGAAGAGAAAAGAAGAGACCATAACATCTCACGGTTACTGATTTATTATGCAGCTCAAAGCATTATGGGTAGAATCTCTCATCAATCTATTCTGATTCATCAACACAGCTTCACTGATGATTTATAGTAAACCTTAAACCCAGGATAGAGCGGTTGAGTGAATGTGGTCTGGACTGTGTGGATGAAGCTCATTGTGTCAGAGACTCTGTAGAAGGACAGAGTTCCTGCACTGTGATCCACATACACTCCTATTCTACTGCCGATGATTGGCTCTACAGGGAGACAAGTCACTATCTTATTGTGTCTGAATGAGTATCTGTCAGGACAGCAGATCAAACTCCAGGAATGATCATTACATCCAAACCAACGCTCATCACCCTCTCCCTTCCTGCTGATGCTCTTATATGACACTGATATAAAGACACGAGTCCCACTCCACTCCAGCTCCCAGTAACAGCGTCCACACACACTCTCTCTACACAACACCTGA